CCTGTACACAGTACAACACAATACAACACACCACTACACAGTCCACACAACACAACACTCACACCACCACTGCTACAGTACAACACAACACTACACACACCACTACACAGTACAACACAACACTACACACACCACTACACAGTGCAACACAACACAACACTACACACACTGCTACACAGTACAACACAACACAACACACACCATACAGTGCAACACAACACAACACTAACACACACCACTACACAGTGCAACACAACACAACACTACACACACCACTACACAGTCCACACAACACAACACTACACACACCACTACACAGTGCAACACAACACAACACTACACACACCACTACACAGTGCAACACACACAACACTACACACACCACTACACAGTGCAACACAACACAACACTACATACACAGTACAACACAACACACACACACACACCATAACACACACCACACACACCACTACACAGTGCAACACAACACAACACTACACACTGCTACACAGTACAACACACACAACACACACTCACACAGTGCAACACAACCACAACACTACACACACCACACACAGTACAACACACACTACACACACCACTACACAGTGCAACACACACACCACACACACACCACACAGTCCACAACACAACACTACACACACCACTACACAGTGCAACACAACACAACACTACACACACTACATACACAGCAACACACACAACACTACACACACTGCTACACAGTACAACACAACACTACACACACCACTACACAGTGCAACACAACACAACACTACACACACCGCTACACAGTGCAACACACAACACTACACACACACTGCTACACAGTACAACACAACACTACACACACCACTACACAGTAACACAACACAACACTACACACACTGCTACACAGTGCAACACAACACTACACACACCACTACACAGGTAACACAACACAACACTACACACACCACTACACAGTACAACACAACACAACACTACACACACTGCTACACAGTACAACACAACACTACACACACACCACTACACAGTGCAACACAACACAACACTACACACACCACTACACAGTCCACACAACACAACACTACACACACTACTACACAGTCCACACAACACAACACTACACACACACCACTACACAGTGCAACACAACACAACACTCACACACACTACACAGTGCAACACAACACAACACTACACACACTGCTAACAGTACAACACAACACTACACACACCACTACACAGTGCAACACAACACAACACTACACACACTGCCACACAGTCCACACAACACAACACTACACACACCACTACACAGTGCAACACAACACAACACTACACACACTGCTACACAGTGCAACACAACACAACACTACACACACTGCTACACAGTACAACACAACACTACACACACCACTACACAGTGCAACACAACACAACACTACACACACTACTACACAGTCCACATAACACAACACTACACACACCACTACACAGTGCAACACAACACAACACTACACACACCGCTACACAGTACAACACAACACTACACACACCACTACACAGTACAACACAACACAACACTACACACTACTACTAACAGTCCACACAACACAACACTACACACACCACTACACAGTACAACACAACACAACACTACACACACTACACAGTGCAACACAACACAACACTACACACACCCTACACAGTCCAACACAACACACTACACACACCACTACACAGTACAACACATACACTACACACACCACACAGTGCAACACAACACAACACTACACACACTGCTACACAGTACAACACAACACAACACTACACACTTACTACATAAACGTCACAACATAACACTACACACACTCACACAGTGCAACACAACACAACACTCACACACTGCTACACAGCACAACACAACACTACACACACCACTACACAGTGCAACACAACACAACACTACACACACCACACACAGTCCACACAACACAACACTACACACACCACTACACAGTGCAACACAACACAACACTACACACACCGCTACACAGTGCAACACAACACAACACTACACACACACGCTACACAGTACAACACAACACTACACACACACCACTACACAGTCCACACAACACAACACTACACACCACTACACAGTCCACACAACACAACACTACACACACCACTACACAGTAACACAACACAACACTCACACACCGCTACAGTAACACAACACAACACTACACACATTGCCATACAGGACAACACAACACTACACACACCACTACACAGTGCAACACAACACAACACTACACACACTACTACACAGTCCACACAACACACACTACACACACCACTACACAGTGCAACACAACACAACACTACACACACTGCTACACAGTACAACACAACACTACACACACACTACACAGTGCAACACAACACAACACTACACACACCGCTACACAGTGCAACACAACACAACACTACACACACCACTACACAGTAACACAACACACACACAAACATCGCTAACAGTCCACACAACACAACACTACACACACCACTACACAGTGCAACACAACACAACACTACACACTGCTACACAGTGCAACACAAACACAACACTACACACACCGCCACAGTACAACACACACACTACACACACTACTACACAGTCCACACAACACAACACTACACACACACCACTACACAGTGCAACACAACATAACACTACACACACCACTACACAGTGCAACACAACACTACACACACCACTAACCAGTGCAACACAACACAACACTACACACACCGCTACACAGTGCAACACAACACAACACTACACACACTGCTACACAGTACAACAACAACACTACACACACCACTACACAGTGCAACACAACACAACACTACACACACCGCTACACAGTGCAACACAATACACACTACACACACACTGCTACACAGTGCAACACAACACACACCACTACACAGTACAACACAACACAACACTACACACACTGCTACACAGTGTAACACAACACAACACACACTACTACACAGTGCAACACACAACACAACACTACACACACCACTACACAGTGCAACACAACACAACACTACACACACTGCTACACAGTGCAACACAAGACAACACTACACACACCACTACACAGTACAACACAACACAACACTACACACACCACTACACAGTGCAACACAACACACACTACACACACCGCTACACAGTGCAACACAACACAACACTACAACACTACACAGTACAACACAACACAACATTACACACACCACTACACAGTGCAACAACACAACACAACACTACACACACCACTACACAGTACAACACAACACAACACTACACACACCGCTACACAGTACACAACACAACACAACACTACACACACCACTACACAGTACAACACAACACAACACTACACACACCACTACACAGTACAACACAACACAACACTACACACACCACTACACAGTACAACACAACACAACACTACACACACCGCTACACAGTACAACACAACACAACACTACACACACCGCTACACAGTACAACACAACACAACACTACACACACCACTACACAGTACAACACAACACAACACTACACACACCACTACACAGTACAACACAACACAACACTACACACACCACTACACAGTGCAACACAACACAACACTACACACACCGCTACACAGTACAACACAACACAACACTACACACACCGCTACACAGTACAACACAACACAACACTTTGGTCAACAGCCAGATTTTTACATCTTGTATTTAAGAAAAAGTTGGAGTGTCTTTACTTGGCTCAGTTTGTTTTCTGGACTACTTGTTATCTTCTTTATTCTTTTAATTGAATTAAAGTTATAAACACATTTATACTTTAGTTTTTATTTTCTTAGAAAATAAAAGTTTTTATAATTCCTTCGCATTTTTAAAAAACTTAAAATTTGTGATCCTCTATCTAAAAACAAGGCCCACCTTACAGTGACTTATGGATGTTGTTATATATAACAAGTTGGCGGAAACTATATTATGTTTTGTCTTATTCTAAAAAATAAGGACTTAGGTGTTTATTTCTTTTTAGCTGCTCAGTCCTCTTTGATCTCCCCTCTAACAGCGAAAACTATTCTATTCAGTAATTGCGTTTTTTTTAATATACAGTAGTTGAAGAAAATTCACGTTTTTCATTTTTCATGGTAAATAAGTAAGTGCTTGTCTACACACATTATTTTGTTTGTTTTATGTTCACCTTTTAATCTGCTGTTAGATGGTGAACTCTAATACTCTGACATATTTTTCTAAGAAAATATTTTCTATTTGGGAGCACCTCTGTAATCCCTCAACCTATCTCCAGGAAATGAACAGTCACCCAAAAATGTATCGTTACCCATGGGGTCGATTTGGTCATGGTATCGTTAGTCCACTAGTTTTGGAAATGTTGATACAGTCGACCACAGGTATAAGTATACACTATTATCTACTACATGAATTAAATTATCTGGGAACACTTTCGTGTACAGAACCGCCAGAATTTCAGAATGACCAGTAATTTATAATTTATTCCTTCATATATTTTATAATACATATTTTGTGTATACAGTATATAAATACTGTCGTGTGACGATGCACTGGAGAAGATACCAAAGCATTTCGTCCAGGTTTACCAGCTGTAAAGACGGAAAAAGTAACGATATATTTTATGGGCATTGTTCGTATGTACTGTATTATGAAACTAACAAACTATTTTCATCTATCACTCGCTAACTTTTCTCTGGTGAAGGTTTTGTAGAGACTTCCTGTAGAGCATCTGTTTGTAAATTAAATATCTAGTCACTTAATGGCACCTGCATTTATATATAATTGTTGGCACATCACTCTTGTAATATTTACTTACCGGCACCTCTCATGTGCGTCTAAAACAGGATAGAGTTCGACGGGTCATGGGTGCCGGTGCCTACCAGTCCAGCTCAGTACGTCAGGAACCGCTACGGGGTCGAGGTGTTCCGTCACGCCCAGCACTGGTTAGATACAGGTCAGTGTTTGTGTTTAGGTAAGATGGTGAGAAATTTATATATATATATATATATATATAGTAGAGAACGTTGGACAAATACAGTGTGTGTGTGTGTGTGTGTGTAATAATAATAATAATAATAATAATAATAATAATAATAATAATAATAATAATAATAATAATAATAATAATAATAAACGGTTTATTGATAGAGTTGCAGCCGGTGGCTGAAAATATACAGACTTACATTTGATTTAGACATAATGATATAATATGCATTGAATACATTTACAGGGCTGTACATTGTGTGTGTGTGTGTGTGTGTGTGTAATTATGAAACCTATCTTTAATATCCACTGTGTTTGTACGTCCCTGCTCCGTGTTAACACTTATATTTCCCAACATTATTTCCATTCTTAATCTTTATTGAATCTGACAAAGTTCATGAATCTGTATAAGAATTTTATCGTAATTGCATAAGTAAATGTTCTCCGTATAGTTATTGTTGTGTTTAAAATAATTTTATATTTAGCTCCCTTACGCTTCACTGTCATATTGTATTATATAAAATACCTGTATATATTAATCTATCACCTGCCTTAAGTTTCTACCTACCTTCGTCATCTTCACCAGTACTCCCGCTACACTTCAGCTTTACTCTCCCTTTGCACCCCCAGGCCGCACCTCTGGCTGGGAGGAATACGAGGCTGGTAAGTTCCTGCCGTGTTCTCGCCCCGCCCACCACGCCTGTCTCGACCAGTACCTGCCTGACGGTAACCTGAAGCTCCACCCATTGTGCGTCACATAGACAGCCCTGGGGTGACTCACGAAGAAGTTCTCAATCAGTATGTACCCTCAAGCTACACCCGTGCTGTTACGTGAGCAGATCAAGCTTCTCCCACTGTGTTACGTAATCACACATATTCCACCCAGTGTCCTACGTAATTAAAAAAGATCGACCTTCTGTATTGCGTAATGTCAACAACGTTCACTCAGTCTTGCGTTCCACGTGCAGGGTAGTGTTTTCGAACACTCATATACCGTACACTGAAATGCCAATCACAAGAGGTTATGGCGCACTAGCAATAAACTTCTGGGATTATGTAAGGTTTTTTTTAGTGAGTTTCAATTTATGAAATAGGATAAGTATTTTAGGTGCAGTTAGACCACATCCACCCATGTTTGTAGTGACATATAACACGGGTATAATAATCTCCGCCCCTTTGGCTTTCTAACCATGTGAACGAGTGAGTTACACCAACACCCTGTAGCCACCACTCTACCGTCTACATTACTGGCACTCGTAGCCTAAACCTTGTATCGTTTCCTCTCTTTGTTTCTTCAAGAGTTGTATGAACACTAGAATAGTTTTGAAGATCTGCCGACTAACTCCGCCCTTATCGATCTTGTGTAATTTAGACATCAGACTAGTTTTGAGGCTTCTAATTCCGCCCCTTGTTAATCTTAGACAATTAGAGTACAAGAAGACTGCTGTTATATGTCGGTCTTATAACATTTGTCCCCCAGTAGGGGTAGAGAAACACACAACTTAAGAGTGTTAAGAGACACAATAGAATACAACAGCCTAGAGCAACCATAGTTCCTTAAGCTTTTTCTACCCTAATCATGCAATAAATAGTAAATACAAAGAAGAATATTAGGGACCAGCATCGACCTATATTCCTAAACATGTAGGCAAAGGAGGCGCCTTAGAACCCTTTGTTACTTCCCTTCCATTAGTGATAGAAGGATATTTACCCTCTAGAATTGTGCAACACCGTCCAGCCACTGTTATCTCTAGTTCCAGTTTGTGCCAAGTAGTTGTGTGACGAGGCTCGTCCACCTCACAAGAAGTGGTGTGTCGACCCCTCCCACCCCCTCAAGTTTGTAGTTCTGTAAAGAACTTTTGTTGCAAGTGGTTCGTGTAAATAATACGTAACTTACTGTTTTATCACTTTGTGACCTTCACTTAAGATAAAATCTGACAACTGAAGTGTTGCGTTAACACATTAACGTTTCACTATCAGTAAGCAAGTGTCTTACTGACAAGCTTCTGTAACACATTAGACTGTAATACAGACCATCACTGGATGGTTTACTGTACCGGAGCTTGTCCACATAATTTCGTCTTTAAGCCTTGAATAGTTCTAAATTAGGTACCATATGTGCTTATTTGTGTTATGATAATGAAATTTACCTCCCCTGAAAAAAAAACATTTCCATATAATAAAACATAAAGAGTTTTTGTTAATAAACGAGTAGTTAACAGTATTATCTGCAGCTTCTTTGGTCAATAGACAAATAATTCGTAAGAGTGAAGATATTCTCTCTAGTTATCACCTACAATTTACTAGTGATCCTCCAGTATATTAAGAGACTATCACACTGCTTTGTACATCCGCCGACCCACAGACAGTTGGCGATTTCCGAAAACTTCCAACTCGATTTTCGCCAACTTGCCTCGAGCTGGATTTTATGATAAACAAAAAATTCTCCACCACCATTTTACTTCCCAGAATCAAATAAGTTTCAGTACTATTTCTAACAGTGCTTATGAACAGTGCCTCTAGCCACTAGTTCAATTGCAATGATTTTATTAAAATTTTGGAAAAGTAAAATAGATTAGTTATTTACGAATTTTATGTTCACTTCAGAAGTTATAACCTACTTTTAGTTCACACTGTTACTAGCAAACAAGGAGAGACGACCGAACGACAGTTTTCATGAAACAAGTAAAATGAGGGATGTCCACAACTGAGGTTGTAATTAATTATCACAAGGAGCTGTGATCTTCCAAGACAAAATTTTTCTGACATCAAGTCTCGCCATCTATACGCACAACTGATAGGGATTTGGTGATAGGAAGGACACCGCGCGTGTGGTTAGAGGCTGGAGATCAACACTTGAGTTTTGCGAAATTTTTGATTAGTGTGATGCTGACTTCCGTCAACAGGTGCCAATATTCGGCTTAAGTCATTCGCCAACTTCTCGCGTTAATGTAAACAGCATGAGTTTCTAAACCATTAGGTTACAGAATACAAGTGAAACATTGTACATGCTGTTAACAAAGTCCCTTGAATTTTGTGTTTACTGAGTTCCTCGTGGCAATTAGTTATCCAAAACGCCGGTATGACTCTCTTTACATGATTACCCTTCACCATCTGAGCTGTGACATAGACTTGCTACCGGAATTGTCATACCGTATCACGGTCGTCGGTGATTCATACCTTTACAAGTTAAACATGCCAGTCCAAGTCAGTGTCACAGCGAAAACTACAGTTGAGCAGAAAACTGGTAAACATAACTTGAGTTTTTGATGTGTGACTTTCCTAAGGGACTGTAAGAACAAACATCTAGGGACTTTGTAAACATCCTGTAGTTGCCAGCAGAATGTACTTGTGGACTATAGAGACGAGTCTCTCGTCGCAAAAGAGAACCCATTAAAAGGGTGCTGACACCTTCCTTTTTGTGGATCAGTTGCACCTCATATTTTACGGCTGGGATAAGTTTGATAGCTACAGATAAATGTGCATGTGAACCAGCTTACCTGTTAGTCCTGTCCGGTTAATACTACACTGGTGGCAGGCGGGGATCCTGAGAGATGAGGCGTGAGGCACAACCCTTGAACCCCTGCCAGGTAGGTAGTGGACACACATCCTCACGCCCCTCCTGGTAACGATTTCGTTATTAAAGTGAGGGCACATGGTACATTGGTGGAGCTATGTCTATAATGAGAATCCTGGACCTTTTCACCATTTATTATAATAGTGATTTAAAAAAAGAAAAGACCGGAAATTAGACAAAAAGTGAGTGAAATAACGAGGCATATGATAATAACTTAATCTCAGTAAAATTACAATGTGAGTGAACGAGAACTAAAATATATGTGACAAGGCAAAAATTATTACTCCCCCTGGGCAGAATAATATCATCCTGTCATCTAATTACACAACACTGTTCAACGTTCGGGCAGTACAGTACAGGGTAGCTTGGACCTAACAACACTTGGATTCTGAAGAACCAACTGATAATATGAACTTGATGCTGAGCTACACAATAGTGCCTCTTTAGAATTAATGAAGGACAACACCTAGTCCTTCATTGTCTTACCATGTGATGTTGAGAATCATTGTGACAAAAATGTTATGGTTCATCGTGATTGAAAATTAAATCAAAAGTGTATGGCCTCAGTGTTTCAAGAAATGTTCCAGTATATTCACACATGTGCATCTAACTGATATTACTTGAATAATCTTACTTTACATTAACAGTAGTTTGCTGTAGCTGTTAAGACACAATAGTTAGGAACTTTATCTATCCCTTGTGGGAGCTATAGACTAAGTAGTGAGAGATATCCATGAGATACCTGCAGGTGAGAAACAACCTGGACAAGAAGGTACTGTGACGTCACCATTGCAGCGCCCAGGAACAAACAAACTAGTGTGGCCAGAGTAGCAAGAACTCTCTCACTGTCAACAGGGAAAACAGGTAGACGTCGAATCCTGTTAGAGGACGCCTTCCAACTCTTAAATGATGACGTGGAATACTGCGAGGTTTAGCAAGACGTGACGACGTACTGTAGGTGTGAGGTGAGGCGCACTGGTCTGCACTATGTAATGACTCAACTACTGTGTACTGGTTGTGTGTGTTGCCTCTACTACACCAGCTGATGACTATATAATGTTAACATAAATACATAAATATGTTTGTCACATTCATATCCGTAGTAGTGTATTATTATTTACATGTTGGTTGTGTATCCCGACTTTACCATATCTGTTGACAACTTCCCCTTGCATGTTTGGATATAATTTCCGTCCAGTGAAGTTCACGATCGCAATAACTTTGTGTTGTGGGTGGTATACAGCTGACGTATATTAGCGGAAGTTTATGAAGTGTTAATGCTATTATAAAATGCACACAAACACACACATAAATATTAGTTTTTGTTTTATATCTACAAATATAATATATAACAACTGTCAGTCGAGAAAATGATAGATAATTGTTTATTTCTCGATTCTTAAATATAATGCGTTTTATATTCCTGATAAATTGTGTTTTTGTTTGTCTTAGGCATTTTACATTAAGTACTGTTAATTAACACATGAAAACAAAATATTAAGAATATATTTGTTAATGAGCAAGCTAAGAGGCTCGCTGAGTCATTGTTTACACTTTTAATTTAACAATTCGTGAATGTGGTTCTTCTTCTTTGGTTGAATTATTTTGTCGTCGATATTGTGTTATAATTATCGATAACGTTTTTCTTTTTACTTACATATCATATTAATATTAGAGCTTTATTAAAATTTATGTATTGGGGTTGGCGACACCTGTGTAACATTGTCAGCCAGCGCTGAGACAATTGCACACCATGATGCCTCCACCCACACAGACTAACATTCTTTAAAATATATATATAGTAAACTAATAAAAGAATTTATGTTTACTACACACGGTATACTACTAGTTTAGGGAGTAAATGTCAGTTAGCGGAAAACTTACGTGCTAGGGAATGTATACCAGACTTGTTGCCGTAAATATTATTAACAGTGGAAACAGAAATATATTTATTACTTTTTGTTAATGCATTTAATAACTGGGTGAGGAAATGCAGGAGTGCCTGGCACCTTTGTTTACACTGTCGCACACACCTCAACAAAGGTTGCTTCCTTCCTGGTGGTTGCATGTCATTTTGGCTGTGGCGTCGGTGGCCAATTCTTTAGTTTTGGTGTAAGGTATAACCAAAGTGTGGGATATCAAACAAGCTTATACACTGAATCTGTTATAGTAATTTTAATCTGATACTAGTAAGAGCTAAAATCGAACTTCAGTAGTGCGTTTAATGTGAGACAACATCGTCTTTTTTATTCTAACATTTCTGTCAAGCACAAAGAAAAAATACATTAAAAAAAAGAAGCTCGTAATGCTTCTTTATCCAGGGCAGAACTTTGGGCTAACGAGTGCAAGTGAGTCCCATAGGTATGACAGCCCGTTCGGATACAATGTGTATACATTACTAAGCCTGTGGACGGCACTGCACTCGACCACCTTCACTTCCCCAACTTATAAATCTAAGATAGATGTGTGGATTGAGGGCGCCCAGGGATCGAATTATCGATTCTTAGGACAGGAGGCGAGCACTGAATCCACTCAGCCACCGCCCCCTAAATCTTACGTGTATTTTATTTTGAAATTTGTTCCGATATACTGTTATCTTTTACAACTATCCATTCCTGCATTATGGATGTTAATGAAATACAGGACCGCATCACTTATATGATATAATAATATGGCTGTTAAATCCCACGTATTCTCATGGGTGCTCCGGCTCATGGAACATTAACATAATGAATACACAGACCACCTCACCGAGTTGAGAATGGATTTCAAGGTCTACTCGACTTACTCGGTGAAGCCAGGCTGCTGGAAGATGGTCTTTCGTTTAGAAAAAAAAAATAGCGCATTGTGGCAGTCACCGGACCCGTTGAGATAGTCAGGATGTAAAAGAATATATATAACTTAAATGACTTTTATATAATTACTCCTAACAAACTTATCCTTGATAATGATACTAAGGAGAGTAAAAAAAAAATCGTCTTCCTTAATGAGATCACAGGTAAATTATGTGCCACTACCTTTTATTGTACTGACAGCATAATTTCCCTAATACTATACTGTACATCAGTTTAAAAGGTTGCCATAACACTGAAATATGAAGGAGATATTTATGATATATACTGTGTACAGAGATGACGTCAACCATAAGACGCTCAAGGTAAAGCAACACGATGATCCACGTTTGTTTAACGACAAAAATTTTAATTCGATGTCCATAACATTACATTACATCATGTAATAATTAAGTTTATAATTCCCATTATTAAATATAGTTAGTGTGTCATTTACGCCGCTAATAAACTTAAGTTATAGTTTCTTAGATATTATGACTTTTCTTGACGGCAAGTAATTGTAACTTGTATGTAACTTTATTAAGGTAGTTACGACACCCAAGTACTATATATATATATATATATATATATATATATATATATATATATATATATATATATATATATATATATATATATATATATATATATATATATATATATATATATATATATATATATATATAAATAATAAGACAATACATTATAATATAAAAGTCAGTTAATAACTATTGTGAAATATTTTATCCCAGTTTGGGGAAGATTACGTTGTTAAAGTGATCTACATAATCCCAGCTCAGGCCAGATGTAATCCAGGCGTCGTCGTTGAGAATCCCACCTCACGAAAACTACTAAAAGTACTGGCAACTGTATTCCACGCGGACCAGCCTGCAGGGGTCCCCACAATGGTTTTAGTTATTAAGTGTAACAAAAATAGAAAAGTTAAGACAATTTCTTAAAAAAAAATTTCAAAGTTGTTTTCTGAGATATATTACAGAACATTTGTATAAGGTATCTACCAACCCCGGCCATTGAAGAACCGAAATCTGAAGCAAAAAGAACAACACAAAAGGTTCATAATAATTTAAAGGTTGATAGAACAAGACTGATGAGTATGCGGTTCATTGTTTTCTCTCTCTGGCTCAGTACTGTACTGTACATCCTGGGGTTATATCGTCACGTGTCCTCTGAGGAAATTGTAGACTCTGGTTTGTTTGTTTATTCTACATGAACCAGTACACTGTGCTGTTCATTATCTTGGTGAGATAAAATGGCTGAAGTTTTATTGGTGATTCACTAGGGTCTCCCAATGAACCGAGAGTCATGAGGTTCATATATTGACCTTTGAACAGATCCCGTATTCAATGATTTATCCTCTTTCTTGACGAACCACCGTGTAGTGCCCATACCTTGTGAATAAACTGTTCAGCACTGGTTCAAACATTATTGGTGAATTAATAAATGTTACGTTTTTTGAAGAACCGCTGGACAGTGTCCCCATCTCCTTAATAAACTAATAGTCGGTGTGGTTCTTCACATTTAATGAGTCGGTAGTAGTAAATATGGCTCGTATAAACTATAAGACACTGTGCGTCATTCTTTGTTGAACCAATATACACTGTAGGTCACTGAACTAACAGGTGAAGTGGTTATTATTTTGACGAGTAAGAAGCAGTTTAGTACGATTCATATCATGTTTATGAACCGGGAGACGGTTTGGTTCATATCTGTAATGGACGATGAAATTCATACTCTTATTGATGCAACAACCAAGGCAATTACTCATACACGAGCAACTCAAAAATATATTGAATTAATTGACGGCGTTTAAATTCCCGTACAGCTGCAGATTGTCGACTTTTCCGGATGCTTTACTAAGTTGTGTCTGTTCACACACAGTTAGAATTGTTCATACTTATATTCTCCTACAAACAATTATCGTTTTCTTTTGTTTTATAAATCAGTGATACTTCCCTTTTCTCTTACTAACTGAACACCAGTACGTTACATTTTCTAATAAAAAGTCTTATTAAATTTCCTCATTGTAAAGGTAACTAGTGTTATTAAAATTGCTCTATAAAAAAATAAAATAAAATGTTGCTGGTGGAACGTGAGGCATGTGTTAACCTCCACACAGCAATAACCTGACCGTCTTCACCCACAACATGTTTAAGGAACATGACGTAAATATTACTGCTGTAACGGTCTGAGAAACCCTTTCTTGCTCTACTTGATGATCCAGAATGTGTTTCTAAGTTCATTCATATAAAATGTGGAGCTATATGGCTTTTTATGTTAATTACAATACCGATTTATTTTAAACAAACCACTGAAAATTATTTCCAGGTTTTTATCATTAAAACCAAGTTTCCAGACGTGATACGCAACGTGTTTTACAGAGCAAAAGTAAAATAGAGTTGAGTACCCCACTAAGTACCATTAATGCTCTGTAATTGAAAACGGAATTTTATTTCCTATAGGAGAGTAATTAGTGGAGCGACAGTAAGCCATATTTCCTCAGTGACTGACTGAGTCTTGACGCTGCTAAAGCTTCACTTGTCTGAGGGAACAGAGGACACCATATTCGAGCGGATGGACTTGCATTATAACTTTTCGTCTGTGATACAAGTGTGTTAATACTCTTGTGAGTGTGTTGGCCGAGCGTGGATAACACTAGAACATTATAGGGTGTTAGTGCATGTTTACAAATACTGTACCTCTCCCAGTCACCTCTATGCAAGGTTACATACTAATTATAGCAATAAAGACATAATTCATTATAAAATCTTTCTTATTCCCCTTATATCAAATTCAAATGACTAACAAACAATTAATAAACATCAATAAGTATTTTTATTACCCTTTATATTCCTCACATGTAAGATGACTAATTATGGAGTACAGTACTGAGTCGTACAGTGGAAGTGACTCCCATTTGGCTGATGGCCCTTTGGGGGAAGTGTGGATACAGCACAGAGTATACTGAGAGTTGTATACAAGGAGACAGCGTGATCACCACTGCACTCGACCGCCTTTATTTCTCCAACTGTAAACTCAGGATCCCATTTACTGCAAGATGAACTGGAAGTGCCCTGGGATCGAACCAGAGGACTTTAAAACTGTAGATGGAAGCTGTATCCACTTAGCCCCAGAAGTAATGCAATAAAAGCAATAAAATCACTCTTCTTTCTTCCAGTCTTAAACAAGCTTTGTACATTAATGTTACAACCAAACGATATGGGGTGACAGGCGAGGGAGTGGCGCCGAGACAGTGAGCTCAGTACAGTAGTCGTACATGTGGGATGATGGCATACGTCTGTTAAGGAAGACCGTCTGAAATACATTGATTGTTAACAGTGTTTAAAGATCCTAATTGTTAGACACTGATAATAGCATACAAAAACAATAACAAAGTCATAATTTTGTAAAGTTGTTTTTGTTGTCTGGTGCAGAAGCTATCATTTGATAGGCAGAACACACACAGAGAGAGAGAGAGAGAGAGAGAGAGAGAGAGAGAGAGAGAGAGAGAGAGAGAGATGCATTAACCCCTTAGTTTTTCTATAAATGTTGGGTAGTACATTAATTTTACATAACTCCATCATCCCCTGTAACTTTCCACTAGCTATGAGTTCATGTTCATAGCACGTGATAAGGTGTATCCACGGGAAGTCGCGTCATTTGGTGCTGAGCTAAGGATTAAGTAACCGGCTCTCTGGCCACCTATTGCGGGCAATAGTTTTAAATCACTCACTAGAGCAGTGGTTCTTAACCTTTTTTGAGTCACGGACCCCTTTGGGAATCTGGTGAAAGATATGGACCCCCTCCCTAAAAAATGCACATAAACACAACTTTGCGTGCAATGAATATACTTTGTTTTATTGAAAATTCATTGCCTCATACAGTGTATGACATACAGTACACAAAGTATGAATAAAGTAAACAATCTTAACAAAGAATTATGTTTCACACTTTTTTATGCAAAAATTAATGGCCACTCCGTACAAAAATGAAATACAATCATCTTGTGCAAATTAAACAAAACAAAACTTTAATTCTGCTCAAAAGTTCATTTCAATGAGAAGGTTGTTGTTGTTTGGATTGAAGATAAATGTTAAATTTTTATCTGACCTTCACGGACCCCCTGAAGCCCATCCATGGACCCCGGGTCCATGGACCCCAGGTTAAGAACCCCTGCACTAGAGGAAGACGTTATTTAGAGTCATCGTTGAGGTGACCCGTCTTCCTCGAGGGTCCCTACTCAAGATCACTCCCAGTCTCACATCAACCGGACGTATTTTAGAAGAGCTAATCTAAGTTAGCTTCCGTCCTCATTTAACACTCATAGGTACAGTGATTAAGTTACGGTGATAATCATTTTTAAAAGTGTACATAGAATTCTTTTTATAATAAACAAACAAAAGGAACATATTGGGTTTCACCACAGAAGATCCAATAAACGTTGATCTATAGAATATCAGGTAACATGCTTCGCAAGTGATTGTTACAAGTGGTGACAACCCAGGAAGGTTGTTACATATATGACAGCTTCACAAGTAGCTGTTATATACACGGTAACAGTCACCTCAACAGATACACAAAATCACTAAAGGTAGATAATATATGTATTCTCCCTGTTCCTGTGATAGCTTTAAGTTTTAGTTACACCTATATACTGTTTTTGTTACAAAAGTGGCAGCTCAAGGTGACCCCAGTCTCCAATCTACAGTGGTAACAGTCGAGGTTATCGTATCTCCTGTTCCTACTGTTAAAAAGAAGATACTGTTACATAGTTGGCAAAGCGTAGCTTAAGAGGACCCAGTCTACGACCAGTCTAAGGTAATCAGTCTACAGGACCAGTCTACAGTTTACAGTTAGTCAAGTGTACTCCAAGTAACCGTGACAATTCTCATAACAAGTTATTCATCATACTGGAGTTGAGTAACAGTTGAGAAAATCTGTTCTCCTGTTACTCATACTGTGATGTAACAGAAAAATTTAAACCGTTACATTGTGGCAGCGAAAAGGACCGGATCCATATCTAAGATCAGTGTCAATTCTTTTTTTTTAGAAAAAAAATCCTGGTTTCTTTAATTTGTTCTAAGTGCGCGTGGATACATACCGTCGCGAGAAGTTTTCTGTTGAGTGATACTTATTTTGTCATGCAAGATATTGTACAAAATTCTTTTTTTATCTATAACAATTACTGTGTTATTGATAATTGCTGTTTTATGGCAACACTCCTGTGAGCTCAAGTGAATATTAGTTTTGCAAATGATTTGTCCACTGCAGCAGGACGTGACTACAGTTGTTGTGACTACTCATCACCAACAGCCTGTCAGCAACATTCTTTCGCCAAGCGACAAGAACCCCCCAGTCATCGAATTCAGTCGTCTTGACAACCAGAGTGGACTCGCCCGACGTCATCTTGAATTTTCACCATGTCGTCTTAGCAACGGAGAAGCCACCATTGGACGCCATCTTGTCTTCTATCAACAAGGACTGTCATTGACCCTTGAACGTGAAGCCTTCAAACCAGCTGAGTGCCCGGCCTCTGTTGAAGTCTACGGGATCTGAAGCCCCATTTTCAAGTAATTCCTAGAATTCTTCAATCAAGACTTCAGAATAGGTATTTTACAGACATG